CATGAAGTTAGCAAAGATCTTTCTTTCTTTTCAGGCTACTTCTCTGTCAGCCAGTGATAAAAATAGCATTTAGACATGAAAATGTCTTTTAAACACATAATTTCAAACAAGTAACCTATAAAAGAAAGTCAATAATGTAAAGATATAGTTCCTGAAACTGAAAGTGAGTAAAGGTGATTCATTTTGATGGATTTTGTCTTAATTTTTATTAAAAAAATTTTGTCCTTTTAGGATTTATTACAGAAATATTCTGTTTTCTAATATAATATTTTAAAGTGTGATGCAATAGTTGCATCATCCATCCATTATCATCACAACAAATATTGGATAATTATAAACCAAGAATACTTAACATTTTTATATTTTTTCTAATAAAATAAAAGAGAAATAAATATTCTTCATATAAATCTAAAACAGTTCAATTTTTTAATTATTTTATAATCAGTTAATCTAATTTACAATGTTTTCGTAACTTACCCGTAGAGTTCCTCCTTTTGCCATCTCTTCCAATAATGAATGTCCCAAACTTGCAATTTATCTGTAAAATTATTTTTCGAGGCAAATTCTTGTAATTCATTTAATTCCCTTTCTGTTGTTGCTTTGCTTTTTGCATGAATACTTACAAAGAAAAAAAAAGAATTGCTTGTTATTATATTTTCTTAACATAAATTTAACATTATATATCAATATCTACAGAAAAGTAATGCAATTTGTATGATAAACTATTTATTCATCAAAATAATTTAATAATTTGGAATTTTCAAACAATACTTCGATATAATAAAAACTAAATGAGCAGTTCAACTAATGATAAATAATTGCCAAATTAGCATAAAAATAGTATAGGAAAAACGATAATTGGTTTACTGTTTGGCTTAAACAACCTTTTAAAATTAAAAAAACACAAGGTCTTTGTGTTCGTCCTTCTTGCACAACGGGAACAATAACGTTGCAAATTAAAAATAACATTACTGCAAAAATTTGCTTAAAAAATTCTGGTGATGGTACAATTTAAAATTATAATTATTAAAGTCCTGGAAATGCATTTCTTCTACTTGTAAATTTTAAATTAATTTATCATCCAGGCTTAATTTTAGTAATTAAACACATAGATCCGTAAACTTTGAATATACTTGAAGAACAAAGCAGACTTTCTAAAGATTTGCATCTCTTACTAAGCTTTCATTTGTATCTTGAATTGTTATAACCTAAGTTTAATAATTTAGGGCTTATCATAGCAGTGAATACAATTTTACAAACAAAGTTTATTTAATATCTAAATTGTACTGTAATATGAATTAAAATTAAATCATTATATACTAATGTACCCAAAATGTATTTTGGATTCCTTTTTCCGAGTCCCTCTTCAATTGGGGTTAACAAAATAATAAAATTACGCAAAAAGTTTACAAATGACAACAAAGACGTCACAATTATACAAATCAACGTTTTCTCGTACATCTTTTCTATGGTCGATTTAGCCATAAACATACTCCACCATATAAATTACACAATTAATGTCAAACCACATGAAAGACAACATTTATGCAAAACCTTATTACTATTGCTTCAACAGCAATTAATTTACATATTTATACTAACATATTCATACCGTCTATCATTTATTTTTAACCAAACATTATCATTAATTCTATTTTCTTTTTTATCCTTAAGTATTTCTATATGTTCATAATATTTTCTTTTGGTGTGATTTTTTTTCAAATTTTAGTTATCACAATTTAAGATTGAAACCAGGGGTTAATACATGTTTCATTTGTGTTTTATACAAATAAAGATTTATTAAAATACGGATGAATGGTTTTATAAGCAAGTTTTCATTACAGCATTTAATATTAATGTCTTTTCAGATAAAATTCTTTTCATAAATAATCGATTGTTTTAAAATAGTGTGAAATAAATGGCAAAAATTTGCATGCAAGAAAATAAAAACAATTATTTTCATCTATTAACACTAAGAAAAACATGTCAATCTCCATTTTCTAAACTGAGGACAAAATTTAGCAATAGGCAAAAGTAAAATTATACGAACATGCCTAAAGGGAAAATTAAGAAGACTGTTTGTACAACAGACTTTTCATTCCTATTTTTATATCAAGCAATTCTGTAGCCTAAATTGTCAGTATCATTTTATTTGTTGTCTCTGGAATTTCCAGAATAATGCTGGAAGATCCTTGTTTGACAGTTTCAAATCCAAATCACCCTTTGTGTTGTTTTTTTGGTTTTTAGTAGTGATTGTTTTTGAAGGACATTTTAGTCAAACTGACCAAAATGAAATATTATAGATTTTATTTAAAATACATATTCTCTTTTAACTATTCTATTAAAATAAGTACAGTAGACCCCCCCTATAACACTAGATAATTCCGTATTATATGAATTCCATGTTGTACGAGTCACTTGGATTTTTCAAATATGTGAGCCATTCACAGCCCGGTACACGTATTTGTAAAATCCAAGTGACTCATACAACATGGAATTCATATAACACAGAATTATCTACAGTGTTATAGGGGGGTCTACTGTATACACTTTGGATGGGGAGGAGTATATGGAGGAAAAATTCCAACCACACTATATATTGTGATCTGCCTAGAGTGCACACGTCCATAAAGTTGGAAATCCGTGTTGTGTTCTCGGAAAGAAAACATCTCTATTTCATCCATCCACTCGTCCACCTCAAATTAACAAGGTCATTAACCTAGATGCCTGGCAGTCAAAACCTCGTGAAAACAAAAATTGTTTTGTTTTAGGGGAACACCATCACTTGTGTCTATTTACCTTATTGTAGTAGATGCAACTTTAATTTCTCTAGAACAAGACTACAAAGAATTACAATGACTCAAAAAAATGTTCACATAATTTTATGTTTTTACTTTTTAAACTATAAAATCTGCATGTGCATTTAAATATGCAAATTTTAACACGCATTCAAATTTGAATACTCTAAGCATTATTTTCATGGGCTGGAGCATTAAATAATTATTTGTGGTTAGCACAAACTATTAGGATTTCAACAATCTGGGATTTGAACATTATCTTTGCTGTTCAACAATATAATTTTCAAAAGATGAAAAACTATTTTAAAATGTTTATTTCATCAAAATAGTTTTCAATTTCAAGCATAATAATTGTTTCCAACTATGAGACCACTTTCTGCATAACAGAAGCAAGATAGTGCTCTCGTTAAACAAGGGCTATCAGTCTGAAAAATTGTCTCGCATTTTTACTATTTTATACTAAATAATAAATTATAGTAGTAGAGTATGGAGTGTTATGTTGTATTAATTTAGCTTCTGGGAAGCAAACAAACATGGTGTGTGTAATTGCATAGTATTCAAAAGTGTGAAGTACGTGGAGTTATCAGATTTTTGCAAGCCAAAAGACTTAATCAGAGCAAAATTCATCACAGATTAAAGGGCTTTAATGTCCCAAATGTTTTAGGCCGAAAAGAAATCAGCATTTGGTGCCACAAATGGAGCTGAATGATGATCCAGAGAAGAAAAGAAGCAGATCAAGGACCTCACACACTGATGACAACTGCACAATTGTCAAATGTTTGATTAGGGAAGATTGTCACATTAAAGTTTGTGAAATTGCTGCAATGACTGGCATTTCTAAGAGTTGTATTCATGAAATCACATGCAATCTAAACTTATGCAAAGTTTTGGCTTCCTGGGTCTGAAAATGCTCTCCAATGAACAAAAAACCAATCGGATGAGTTCCTTAACATCTCACCTGATACCATCAGGAAGGGAATGGAATCCTTTCATTGAAATTATCATTACCAGAAATTAAACCTGGTTTATGAGTTCACCCAGAGAGGAAACAATAGTCCATTATATGGAAACGTTCAGCTTCCACAGTAAAAAAAATTTCAAAACTCAACCATCTACCCGCAAAACCATGGCCACCATATTCTGGGATGGTGAAGGCTAACTCGTGTGAATTCCTCAAACCATGCACAACCATTAACAGTGACAGATACTGCAAAACTCCCAGAAATTGCATAGAGCCATTAGAAGGAAAAGGCTGGGACGATTACACAAAGCAATTAAACTTTTGCATGATAGCACAAGACCCCACACGTCAAATCAAACCAAACTATGGTTGACACAGTGGAAGTGGAGGTCCTGCAACATCCTCTGTTTAGTCCAGATTTAGCCCCCTCAGATTTTTATTTATTCAGACTTTTAAAGAAATTTTTGGTGGGGAAACACTTTGAGGATCAAGAGGAATGGCAAGACACCGTTCTGGACTACTTTGAGCAGCATGACAAACAACAGTACCATGAAGGGATGTTCAAACTAGTGCCATGCTGGGATAAATCTCTCAACATTTATGGAGATTATGTCAAGAAATAAACAAAAGTATGTAGTTTTCTTGTGGAATGTACTAAATATTTTCTTTAATTATAAATGTTAGTGTAATTTTGGCTTGTACCTTTAATATCGGACACCCCTCATATACCTTGTTCTTTATAGCATGCAACTAGGAACACTTCAAGCATCACAAAATATCGCAAACTGTATGCAAGGTGGATGTCAAAAATAGTTACAGATGTTCAAAAAACTAATTGCCTGATAGCAAAATGTGTTTAAACAAATTCAAAAATATAACTATATAATGTCACATGTTTGTTTCCTTTTTTATAATTGGTTAATAGTCCGATCACCAAGTTTGAATTTTCTATTCTAGAATTTTAGCATTTAAACTTCCATTTGGCAATCTATTATGTATTCTATTCGAGGAAGGTCATTACTAACTAGAACATTTTTTATTTGTTTTTAAAGTTTTTGCTGTGTTTTATGGTTGTTTGGGTGTGTTTATTACTCTACACAGCAGCTGTGAATCAGATAGAAAAATTAAATTTTTTGGAACATCACGAAAGAAAAGCAATGAGTTCTCTTGGATTGCATTTCATCAGGAGATTAAACATGAATTGTTTGCAAGACATGAGACAGTAGCCACAGTATATGCAATTGCATCGCACTGGATCTTCAAAATCAAAAAAATTCAAGTAGACTGTGTCAGAAAGATCAATAACATGTGCTTATTGAATTCGTGACTAAAAAAACAACAGATCACAGATAATCATAGCAGAAAATCATCCAGTGATTTCCATCGACAGAGTATCAATTTTGCAAATTTTTCCCAAAAGTATTTTAGTGTCTTGTTGTGACCACTGAAAATGGTTTACAACATTTTGAAAGCACTCACTGTTTATCAGATTATGTTAACAGCTGCATTAACATACAAAAATTATCAACCCAAAGCAACACAGCCGATTAAATACTCATTTGTGGAATTTTACCACAATGGAAAAGTCAAGACAATGCTGACTCCAAGTAGTAGTGTTCTTTCCATAGTAGAATGATGTCAAAACCTCTCTGTGAATGCCACTGATGCTGCATTTCCACACAACCAGGAACGAATATGTCTTGGTATGAAATTGGTCTCAATTCAGAGTGATTACAAAGAAATATAAAGCTATGCATAAAAATGTAGAAATAAAGAAATACTTTTAGAATGTTTTCATTATTTACATTCAAGTAGTTCTTATTTCCCAGTCATACAATGTATATTTAATTTATTTAATTTAAAATATATGCTCTCCACCTTAAATCAGTAGGAAAAGTATGTTGTCCCTGTACTGTACTGTACAGTACAGGGACAGGGACAACATACTTTTCCTACTGTACTGTACAGTACAGTACAGGGACAACATACTTTTCCTTTAACAATAGTCAGTAATCTATCTAACACCTTTTGGGAAAAATTTTTGAATTGAAATAAAGTGTCTTCCAGTGCAAACTAGAAATAATTGAAGACCTATAAATTATTTATAGGTCTTCAATTAGTTCAATAGGTGTACAGTTTTTTCAAATTGCAGCCCACAAGTTTTATATCAGTTTTTATCCTTTGCTTTCCAGAATGAATTACACTCAAAGACATTTTCAGAATAATGTTTCTTGACATTTTTAAATTATATTATTATTATAAATTATTAAATCTATAATAATAAACTTTTTACAGATTTTTTAATGTTATTTTCTAACCTAAACTAGAGATATTTGCAATAAATATTCATTTTTCAATTTAAGTTTTGATATATTTTATTTAAAAAAAAAACAAAAATTCAATATTCTTACGTTGCAATCATGGAAAGTACATTCTGGACGCTGTTTGCCATCTTTGTTTCCATAGACATATCAGCATATGTTTCGTATCCAAGAAGGTTTGCTTGATCATTCCTATTAAATCATAAATGTGTGTTGCTTTTTATTAATGTAACAAAAATTCAACAAAAGAAAACACAAATGATTAATTTATTAATTTTTTAAAAAATTACCTAAGAAATCTCATTTCTTCAATTTCAAGACTACAAGACAGAGTTTTATCTTCCCGCGATCCTCTCGAATTGAATGCACGCCAGACATTCCATCTCTCTAAACGATCTTCACAATATTCCATAAACGGATAATAAATAAATGGATTTAGTGTTACCACCCAAGGTCCTCGCCTGGGACTAGTTCTATTTTATTTTAATAAAATAAAATGTTTAAAAAAACAAATTGCAAATGAAAAAATTTATAATTAATTATAATTATAATTTTATTATATTTTAGAGAAGTATCTTAAATTGCATATAAGAGATTAGAGAAAACTTTTATAGTGGCGGTAATGACGATATACCACAATAGAAAATCATAATAATTAAAATTTACTTCATCAAATTCCTAAAAGTTGGCAACACAATTAAATAAAAAACTCAAAACGACTTATTAAGGAGACCAATATTCAAAATTCAATGGGTGATCGGTTAATGAACATATATCTGTTCCAAGACCATGTTCGCTATCCAAATTGTTCATTAACCGATTATCGATTTACCACAGATTTTTGTGGGAATTTTATTAATTTGTTCTGGAGACCCCTAAAAATAAATAAAAAATTATATACTTTCCTTACTATGTTTGCTTTTAATTTGTTATTACATATAAATAATCTCTCCATTTTTTCATAATGGTACATCTTTGTTTCTCAGATGTGATTTTTGTTACTCCTTTATCTGTTTGAGTTGTTTTGATTATATCTTTCTTAGCTAAGATTGTATCTACTGTAGACCTGCTGAAGTCATCTGCCTACAACATCAGACATTTTCTGCCCATTCTCTACCTTGGCTATTATCTCTTGCTTAATTTCTGTAGTGAACACAGTTCTTGACACTCCAATCTTTTTAGGTCCAATAATATTATCAGTTTTTTAAGTAAAAAGTTCAGAAAAGTACTTAAAAATTCAGAGAACAGAAATTAACTAGTGCAAAAAGGTTATGTATACAACTGTGAAAGTCTCATTCCATAAACCATATATAGATGCCATTAAAATATAGTTTTACAAATTACAAATCTTAAATGCAGTGTTGCTTCTTCTTGTGTTTGTTCTGTCAGGTGTTCATAAAAATCTTTCGTGAAAGTGTTTGTTTTCTGATTTGTTTGCAGTCTGAACTGTTCATTAACCGATCACCCACTGTATTTTTTTTTTAGGGAAACATTTTCAAGTCTTCTTGAGCAGCTTCAGCCACAAAACTATTGTAATCACTTATAATTTTCAATGGAACTTAGAAGAAAACCCAAATTGTATAAACATATTAAAATTTGAAGCACAATTAATTAGTATCTCACATTTCAAATTTAAAACAGCATAAAACTTAATACAATACAAAAAACATATGCTCTAAAGTTAACCAATGCTTAGAGTTTTTACTACATAGGATCCACAACTAAGTCTCTGGCTATTAAAATAAAAGAGCATGCTCATTTGGCCTAGAGTTAGCACTTCTTTGGCATAATGGGCAAGTAATTTCAAAACAAGTGATACTGTAGACGACACTCATTAAGGAATGCAGAGAGGTGTTCCCAATTAGAATAAATTGATCCAAAAGTTTAAACATGATTAATAACAATGATGTGAAAGCCTTTAGTGATAGTTGGAAATCTGTTTTAAACAGCATTAACATCACTTAATTTAGTGAATAGATTATTAGTAATTTTGCATGTTTTTTTTCTTTTTGTGTCTTTTCTTTTGTGTTTATTTATTTTCAAATTTTTATTTTTACTTTTGTATGGAACATTAACATTTTATGTTGTTCTTTAGCATATCACATTTCAAATTTAAATGCATTTGTTTGATTTGATTTTTCTTTTATGTTCCATTGAAAATTATAAGTGACCACAATGATTTTTTGGCTGAAGCTGACTTGAGAAGACTTGAAAATGTTTTCCTAATATTTTGAACTTTAATCTCCTTAACCCTTTGATGAGTGGGTTTACTGATGATATTCTCTCCTCACAGTGTGAGTTAGTTTTTAAACTAGATACAGTTTGCTTTCTGTCTAAACACAAATTTAGAATTGGACCAAGGCACTAGCAAATCAATAATACTGTTTCGGGGAGTCATCTATAATGATCATTTGTTGCTACCAAGGCAATGATGTCACCATTGGCATAAAAAAAAATAAAATAAAATTGCTTACGCTTGTGTTACCGACCTTGTATGTTTTCACATTGACCCAATGTATCTTGAAAATGAAATCATGGATCCCCAATTTTTATTACAATTTTAATTTCTTCATCTCTTATGAAAAATGACAAAATTTAATCAAAATCAACTAATCAAATTTTGAGAACAGACACAATTCTAGAGACTATGAGAACTATTTTGAAGAGACTATGCTTATTCTTACCTAAAATATGTAACATTTACAAAAGAAATTAATATTTCATTTTCTAATTTGTGTTTTTTTTAATAAACTAGACAATATTTTCTTCTGATTCGATCATGTTGAAAAAATTCAATTATTCAGAAGGAGACAGCAATTATGAATGAACACTAGACACCATATTTGTCTTTACGCTAGAAAATTCCATGCTAGATCTTGTGAAACTTACAAAATACAAAATCCACATGGAAAAATGTTTTTAGACCTAGTCAATAGAGTCCTTAGCATCCATAAAATTTTATATTCGCCAGTAAATATACAAGTGTACTCGAGACAAACTTGAAAAATGTGTATATATATATGGGCTTACTCCATAGAGTCCACCATACATATCACATATATTTATGGGAATACTCATCAAAGGATTAATAAACAATTTTAAGTTCTTTATTTAAAATTTACTGCTTTACTTACCTGTCAACAGACATTATCGATAACGTTTGTTCCGACATATCTTTAATAATATTGGGATCTGTTACCGTATGAGAAAATATTTTTGTTGCTGTTTCAATTTTCTTCCTATATAAGATCATTAAATTTTATTAATTTCATTTTAAAAATATATAATGTTATTTAGGAAATGTTTATAAGTATTTTAAATTCAATGAAATAAACATTATAATTAGGGATGGACTAAATACTTTTTTTTTGCCAAATAATGAATAGTTTTTCAAATGTTCCAGTTCTGAATATCGAATATTGGCAGATTTGTTTGCAACTGCACAAAACTAAAGACTTAGAGTAAGATGGAGGTACTGTCTCATATTCAATAATAAACATTATATAGTTTATAATTTTTCAAAAATATAAACTTATATAATCAGTTATGTGACAAAAATTAAAAAAATTAAATCTTACCATCAAAAGCCCATCTTTTTTTTGGCAACCTGAACAAGTAGTGTATTTAGCAAACATTTAATACAGGGATGACAAACCTTTTTGAATCCACATGCCATATAGTAAACATAATTATCTTTAAAATGTCTATACAAAGTCTAAATTTTGGCAAATATAATGATTTTTAAAGAAATCAAATGAATATGCTTTAATTAGAATAACTGTAAAGAAGTCGATTAAGAAAAGGATGATATACTCTGTTACATTATTGAACAGGCCACATGATGGAGAAGTCAGTTGGAACAACTCATCTAAACTATAAAGAGATGTGTGAAGAAAACAATTGGAAAAAGCAGATTAAATACTGATGAACTCAAGACCTATATTGACAGAAATTGAAGCCACAATCAACTCAATATCTCTGACTATGAAGAGAATAAGGCACTTACATCAAGCTACTTTTTCACAGGGAAAAGACTTACTGATTTGCCTGAACTAGAAGAAGAAGAGGTAGAACAAGGAAGAAGGAAAACAGAATTAACTGGAATGTGGCAAAAACGAAAGAAAATAATGGATGATTTTGTGAAATATTGAAAATCAGAATATTTGTTAGATCTCAACATTTCATGAGATGGAACTAATGTAAAAGAGGGCAATATTGTACAACTTGTTACAGAAACTCTACCCAGACAAAAATGACAACAGGACTAATCCTAGTTGAAATCTTAGTGATTGCCTTCATTGCTCACTACAGTATGTAATTACAGCAGTTAACAAGATCAGAAGCAATGCTCTGAATGATAATTGTTTCAAAAACTGTGACAAACAATGAAGATTTCAATTGTTTACTATTGCACACAGAAGTTCATTGGCTATCAAAGGGTACCTGTCTAAAAAGATTTTATGACCTCTGACTCAGTTATAACACTTTTTGAAAACAATGATGATTTGTTAATTAAGAGAGAATTTATTGAAATTTAAGATTAATATAGCTTTAAATAAGTATCTGAAGACAAAGTCCTCCCAAAAAAGGAACCACCATTTATTATCTTCATATTCCAGACTATACATTCTTGGCGACTGACCTTTCATTTTAGGCTACTGGCTGCCAAAACGTTTTTTTAAAAAAACAAAAATACACCCAGTTAAAAATAAAAGGATTTTTAAAAAAGGAATTGGTGGCATACAGACATCTTCTGGTTTCCATCGTACCTTCTTGGAGGTGTTTTGGCTTTTTATCTAGTGCTGGTAAATGTAGATTAGAAAAGTTGTCCCCTGGTGACGATATTTTATAAACTTTTTGTAAATTTTCGTCTGATGGCAATAATTATAATTAAATATGTATCTGAAGACAAAGGTGGTTCCTTTCTTGGGAGGACTTTGTCTTCAGATACTTATTTAAAGCTATATTAATCTTAAATTAAATTAAATTTCAATAAATTCTCTCTAATTATTGCCATCAGACGAAAATTTACAAATAAAATTAATATAGCTTATTTAACTGATTTATATAATAAATAAAGAATGGAATGAAATGAATCTACAGCTGCAAGAAGATTATTTAAATTTGATCAGAGCAAAGGCAACTATTTCTGCATTCATATCAAAATTTGCCTTGTACAAACAAAATTTCGGTCAAAGACAATTCTACTGGTTTCCAAATCTTTCCTCTGTGGAAACAAATGATGATGACATTCTGGTATTTATCCAGCATTTAGAAGAACTTAAAGAAGATTTTACATGTAGATTTCAGCAGAGGTGGCAAGCTGTTACATGTTTCATGTTGGCAAGCTGTTACAGAACCCATTTTACATGCAAATCAGCTTTTAATGTTAATATTGTATTTTTGACAATGACAAATAATAGAAAATCGCTAGTACAATTTTTTTAAATGCCTAAATATTTCAGATGTGAAT